AACTTTGATTGAGTCGCGAACCCAGATTGAGTCGCCGTTTTACTATCACTAGTCATTAAAATTATTTTTTATCCTCTACCCAACTTCCATATTTTAATCATGTTTGACTTTGATTTTTTTACTCCATCGGAACTTTTGGTGCAGTTTGTGAATATTAAATAAATTCAACAATTAACACCAATTCGAATGTTATTAAGTATAATTAATTTTATCACCGGTCAACATTAAAACACACGTAATACCTCGATCATGCGAAAAAAGCTGCACGATGACCATTATTGGAGAGCATGCAAAGTTGGGCACATGTATATGTTATCAAAAATGCGTCGTGTACACGCCGGTTTACACGGCCGTGTACACCAAATAAAAAGCCCCACCCCCCTTTTCTAACCCACCCTAGTTTTGAATTAATCCTCCCCACTCCCCTTCCACGTGCCATTTCGAAAAAACCCGCCAGCCGTTTTTCGTACTCCCCTCCCCACTCCTCTTTCCCGACTCCCCACAAACTAGAGAAACCCAACAATCGAAGCCGCAGAGCCTTCCTCTCCGTTTTTCCGACTCCCCTCCCCACTCCTCTTTCCTCCCGTTGGCCGTCGAAGCCGCAGAGCCCTCCTCTCCGTTTTTTCGACTCCCCTCCCCACTCCTCTTTCCTCCCGTTGGACGTCGTCGTCGTTCTCCGTTCTCCGGTCGCAAGTCACAACTTCCCCCCGTCCGGCCGTCGTCTCCAAAACTCCACTACAATGGTGCGCACTTCGCTGACTCAACTGGCAGCAAGGTAAAGATCTCCAAAACTCCACTTTAGGTTATTGATGTACATGAGATGTCTGTGTGGCTGTTGTTGAGATGTCTGTATGGTTTGTTTGTATATTTTTGCAAAGTCGAAACCTGTCTGTATGACTTTTGTTGAGATGTCTGTACAGTGTGCAGGTGCATGTCTATCTCATAAAAATGGTCTCACCTTAGATTATTGATGTACATGAGATGTCTGTGCCTCATTAGTTGGGTTGTATTGGTTGCTTGTTTTGTGCTTTTAAAGATGTCTGTATAGCGTGTTCTTATTCGTGGGTTAAGGTGTCTGTGTGGCTGTTTTTGAGATGTCTGTATGGTTTGTTTGTATATTTTTGTGAACTTCAGACCTGTTTGTATGAATATTTGTGTGTGACCACTGTCTGTATGAATATTTTTAGGATGGAACTTCAAATTCCTCTAAGAGATTACTTCCCAGCCCAATACTCAGTACGGTCAGCCTTCAATGAGGCTTTGGAGTTGCTGAGTGAATGCCTTACACTCAAGCAGATGTCATTGCTTCTTAAAACCCCTTGGGGCCATTTACTTGCTTGTCCGCACTTTCAATTCTCAGGGCAGCTAATTCATTTGTTGCTGTTGCGCCTTGTGCGTGAGCAGCCTGAGGATGAAATGTGGTTTGCTATTGAGGGGAAGCTGATGAAGTTCACTTACAATGACTTCAAGAGGATTGTTGGTGTGAAAGATCTAGAAGAATGGCCCACTTATGATCTGGATGAAGCAAGACAGGGCATTGCGGAGAAGTATTTTGGTGGTTGTGATGATGTCACCTATCACAAGTTGAAGGCGAAAGTTGCTGCCCTAGGTAAGAGCCGTCGAGAAGAGAACGAAGATGTTATGGACCGGGTGAAGTTGGCTTCTTTGTTTTTGGTCCACTCTTGTCTGCTGGCTAGAGATTTGCCTACAAGAATCCATCCGGATTACTTGCGTTTGGTGGATGAGTTTAAGCTTTTCAAGTCTTGCCCCTTGTCCAAAGAGTCATACAATGTGACTGTGATGAGTCTCAAGAAGACCATGCAAGGCCAGCCACTGAAGTTTCAACAAAGCAAGCTGGCAAATCGTAACTATTGCAATGCAAAGTTTAGCTTGTATGGCTTCCCCTATGCTTTACAGGTATTGATGTTATTGTTTGTATATTTGTTTACTTAAGAGTTACATTGTCTGTATACATGAATAAATCGTCTGGATGATATCAGTTTTTGAGATTCACTGTCTGTATAAGTTCTCTGTATTACACTCATGAATGTATGTAGGTTTGGGCGTACGAGGAACTGCCTGTCCTTGCGCAAAAATGTGCCAAACGTGTGGCGGGTAAGAAGGATATTCCAATGCTTAAGTGGACTGCTGATGGCTTTTTTCATGCCCATGTGCTAGAAAAAATTGTGTTTAAAGATGTTGTTGAGGTAATACTTTTGTTGGTGTAATTTCTGTAATTGTCTGGAGTACAGAGTTGTAATTATTTACATCATTTATTGGTAGGAGGAAGAGGAAAGCAATGAGGATGCCGCAGAAAAGGAATTGCGGTTATTGCGTGAACGTGTAGCTGATCTTGAAAGGAGATTGAAAGCCACTGAAAGTCACCTTTCTGAAATGAAAGAGAAGGAAGGGAATGACGATGGAAATAGAGATGGCGAACAAAACAATGTGGACACTGAAGAGGTAAATGTCTTCTGCACTTCGGTGAATTTGTCTGTACTTCTTTTTTAGGTTGTCTGTATTGTAATTTGTCTGTATATTACAAATGACATTATCGAATTTTGGAAACATATTGTAGGCTGCTGAGGATAGATGTGAAGTTGTTGAGGGTAACGTGGAACCCGACTTGGTAAGTTCCTCTTGTATTTGGCTTTACAGTTGTTTGTATGAAAATTGACTTGAGACAAACATTTCCTCCACACTAACTGTTTCAATGAAATTGTAGGTTGTTGAAGAGGATAGAGCTGAGGTTAATAACGAAGTAGATGAACAGGTAACATCTAAAGAAGATGCCCATACACGAAACAGTAGGGAACCCGACATGGTTATTAATGAAGTAGGTGAAGAGGTAAAAGTTTGTACTTATTTAACTTTGTCTGTATGCAATATTCTGATTTCATACCGCTGAGGTTGTCTGTATACATTAAAACAGACAATATACTGCCTGTACAGACAATATGTGAGTAGATTTGGTTAACATATTTCAGGGTGGTGACGAGGATGGAGATGCGGCTATTGCTGACACGACGACTGCTGATGAAGAATTGGTAGTTCGTGGTCATGGGCTATTTAACGATGTACATTTCTAAACATTTCTAACGGCTAATGAGTTTGGGGAATGTTTGAAATTGTTTTAAATTGTTTAAGGATGTGGATTATGTGTGGGTCGGGACAGATTTCATATGTTTTTATGTTTAGTAATCTAAATTGTTTAAGCACCATTACGAACACCATTTCGCACATAGTTTTCATATGTTATTTATGTTTAGTAATCTTCCGAACAGATTTATCAAAGTCCAGACATTGTCATCAATAATGTGATGAATGATGTAAGTGTTGTCAAGGTACATTTGTTGTATTGGTTTTTAAATCACACATTTTGTGATTTATTTTACAATGTTTATTTGAAATTTTAAGTTGATGTTGATGAACGAAGAACATGGTTTCTTTGAAGAATGTCGTAGCCCACGAGAGTTGTTGTTCAAGGAAGAGGTGAACTTACTTTAATTTCTTTTGTTACATTTTACTTCTACTTACATGTCGAATTCAAACATAAAGGGTATTGTCTGCGTGCAGACATTGTGTCCTCTTTGCATGATGTATCCTTACAGACAATTTTTTTAGTTTGTGTTAACTTTAGGCTTGTGTAAGTGTGTAGTTTCCCGTTGAGACATTAGATGAAATAAAGTTTGAGAATGTTGAGTGGGAGGACGTTGTAGATGAGGATACGGCACTGGTGACTGACGCCCTTCATGCGGATTTAACCCGGCTTGAAATTTCTAAGTATCAGTGTAGTCAGTTGGATGTAGATGTGTATGATTGGTTGAAATTGAAGGATTGGATTGAACAACCGGATCATATTGACCCTACACGTGTACACCTTTGTGTACCCGGGTTATATAAACGTTGTCTGTACGTATTATAAACGTTGTCTGTACGTATTATAAACTAAGATAATATAACAACCATGAAGAAACGTTGTTTGTATGTATTATAAACGTTGTCTGTATGTATTATAAACGTTGTCTGTACGTATTATAAACTAAGATATTATAACAACCATGAAGAAACGTTGTCTGTATGTATTATAAACGTTGTCTGTACGTATTATAAATGTTGTCTGTACGTATTATAAACGTTGTCTGTACATTTAAATGTCTCTATACAGACGGATTGAAGGTTCAATGTAGTTTGATTGTCTTCGTCATCCACACTATATTTTAGAACTATATTATAGGACTACAAATAGTTTTACATAAACAAAAATGCAATGTACTAATGTAGACAAAGACATTGAGTTGTCTGCGCCACAGACATTTCAATACGAAGTTTCATTAACAATTCAAACCAGAGAAAGATTCAAATCTAAACCATCTTGGTAATGTAGTGTGGGCACCTCAGCAACAACAATGTCCTGTGTGGCCAGCTTTTTTGGCGCCCTTGCGTGAAATAAAATTGGTAATATTATGTCTGTACATATGTGTTCATTGTCTGTACAAGTTTAAACATTGTCTGTTGTTCATAGAAAGTGCAAGGCAGCATACCTTTGCGTTAGTTTTCCCCTTTTCTAGTGGCCCCTTCAAACGATTTTTCCTGGGAGCACCCTTCCGTTTTGAAGACTTAGGATTATGAATTATTTGTGGTTGGTCCTTGGCAACATTTGTTCCGGATTGTGGTAATGGTGTCATGACACCACATATAGAAGAATGAGAAGGACGGTGGTCATGTTGTTCCAATTGCCGTTGAAGCCACATCATTACACTGTTGCACTTTTCTTCATCATCAGCAATGGAATTCGCAAGGGTCTCAAAAGTCTTACACAACTTATCAAACCTTTGTTGTTCCACGGTTGTGATCCAACCATCGTAGTTAATCTTCACTCGTGTGTAAGCTCTTTTGATGTCTTTTCGCCATCTTGACATTATGTAACAATCAGGGAACACTTTAACATCATGCCGAATTAGCACCATAAGAAAATGTCTACATGGAATGCCTCGAAACTCAAATAAGTGGCAACTACACATTCCTTTGGATGTTGAATTATCATACTCAACAATGAAGTTCGAACTCTTATCAAACCCATTGATGACACGATTCTCTCTAACTTCAAATGTGCTACCATCAATGCTAGGTAGGACATAACAATACAGTTGATCAAGTAATTGGGTTTGGAACTCCTTGAACTTTGCTAAGGTGTAAACATGTTGCACTCGTTTTTCCATTGCAAACGATGTAACACATGGAATCATTTTACTCAAAGAATTACCATTGGCTTGAAATTCTTTTTCAACCTTATTTCTTAAAGCACGCCCATATTGATCGACAAACTGTTTTAGACTAGTTTTAGAATGAACATACCCATCAAAGAATGCGTTCATGCTTTCACTTCGTTGAGTGGTTGACATGCCTGCCCAAAAATATGGTTTCAGGTAACAGGGCACCCAACGACGACGTTCGTTGTACATAACCAGCAGCCATTCATCATGCTCTAGTGAAAACCTAACAACACAGACAATAGTTAGACTGACAGAATAGAAATGTCTGTGCAGGGTTCAATTTTGTATAAATCACAGACGATATACTTCCTTTACAGACAATATAAAAAAATGTCTGTCTATATTTGTTTAATGTCTGTACAAGGATAAACATTGTTTGCAGTTCACTAAAATAAAAATATTCATTTTGAGAAAACCTTACCTTTGGAGCATAACTTCCCACCCAGCCTCAAACTCTGTGGTGTGCTGTGAATCATACACTAGTTCATGAATCTTGAACATGATGTGATCTTTATCCGCATGCCCACCCATTTTTTCGGGTAACTTCTTCATGATATGCCACAAACACCAACGGTGCCTAGTATTCGGGAATACAAGTTGAATTGCATTTTGCATGGCACGGTCTTGATCAGTTATAATACCGCTTGGAGCACAACCCTCCATACAATCAAGCCAAGCCTTAAAGAGCCAAACAAAAGTTTGTGTATCTTCATTTGAGATTAGGCCACATCCAAATAATATAGATTGGCCATGATGATTCACTCCCACAAAGGGTGCAAAGGGCATATCATAACGATTAGTTAGGTAGGTTGTGTCAAAGGTAATGACATCTCCAAAACTTTTGTATGCATACCTACTTCTATTATCCGCCCAAAATACATTTCTCAAGCGTGACTCATCATCTAAATCAACACTAAAGAAGAAACCGGGACATTGTGCTTGCATGTTAGAAAAAAATGCTTGTATAGCCATTGCATCACCACTTCCTAGCCTAAGCTCCCGAATTTTGTCAATGTAATTCCTACAATCCTTTTCAATAAAAGGTAGGGCATCATACCCCCCCGCTTGAACAACAATGGAGTTAAAACTCTTGAATTACACACTTTTTTTATGTCTGTACAGACATAAAAAAAACCTTACACAAACATGTGTAAAAAGTGTGTACACCAAAAAGTGTGTACCTTTAGAATTTTTCTTTTCTAACCCACCCTAGTTTTGAATTAATCCTCCCCACTCCCCTTCTTCTCACCTTTGCACACACATTAATCCTCCCCACTCCCTTTCTTCTCCCCTTTGCACACACAATATGCATGTTCCGTTTTTTATTTGTCTGTACCCTTCCTCTCTCTAACTTGCAGCACTTCTTCATTTTCTGTACATCATACCCCCCCGCTTCAAAAACCGGGACATTGTGCTTGCATGTTAGAAAAAAATGCTTGTATAGCCATTACATCACCACTTCCTAGCCTAAGCTCCCGAATTTTGTCAATGTAATTCCTACAATCCTTTTCAATAAAAGGTAGGGCATCATACCCCCCCGCTTGAACAACAATGGAGTTAAAACTCTTGTGAACGGGTATTCCCGCAACTTTCTAACTCCATTGATGAAATCGAATGACAGTGTGATGAGATGCTTACTCTTGGCTTGATCCAGGAGAGTCACTCTCCCTTCTCTTCTCATGTCTTATTGGTGAAAAAGCACGATGGATCATGGAGATTCTGTATTGACTATCGTGAACTAAATTCCAAAACTGTGAAGGACAAATTTCCCATTCCGGTGGTTGATGAGTTGTTGGATGAGTTATATGGGGCAAAATAATTTTCCAGACTCGACCTACGTTCGGGTTACCATCAAATCCGCATGAAAGCAGAAGATGTTCCCAAGACAGCGTTTCGCACTCACCATGGCCATTTTGAATTCCTTGTCATACCATTTGGGCTCTCCAATGTCCCTTCTACCTTCCAAGGCTTGATGAATAGCATCTTCCGACCCTACCTTCGAAATTTTTTTTTGGTGTTCTTTGATGACATTCTTGTCTACAGTCGCACATGGATCGAGCACCTTCACCACCTCTGCCTAGTCCTCGAAACATTGCGTGTCCACTCCCTGTTTCTCAAGAAATCCAAATGTCACTTTGGAGACACGCAAATAGCTTACCTTGGGTACTGTTGGTCCAAAATAGGACGCTCGTAGGCTTTTAGGAAAGCTACGTACGACACTCAAGCAGGAATTAGGAAAGTACGAATATGGAAAAGTAGCCAGAAATAGCATGTAGAATTCGTTTTCTAATATGAATTACAAACCGCCTTTTATAGGCATATACAAATCGTAACCGCTACCGATATAATGACTAATTAAATACAACATTAATACGAAATTAAATACATAATTAATAGCGCATTAATTGCTTGACTGTTACTCTTCCGTGCTGGGAGGTCGGTCGGACTGGCAGACTCCCCGCTGGGCTGGCAGACAGGCTCCAGGTTGTGGACTTGGATACACGGGTCCAAGTTCGAGGCTTGGGCTGATTAGGCTCTGGGCCTAGTCCCATTACTCCATCACGAGTCCCCCACTCCCTTAGTCGAGTAGTAGACTCGGCTAAGAGGGAGTAGTCCAAGTCAGTTGCTCTTCTTCGAGACTAGAAGATCACCGCCCTTGTCCGTGTTGGGGAGATGCCTCATTAAAAACCTTCATTAGGAAAAAACCCAATGGGAAAAAATCCTAATGAAGGGAAAAAGAGTACATCTGACGCCCCCAAGATGAAGCAAGAGGTGAGATTCTTAGCCTTTATTGCAATGATCGCCATCTGCGAATAGGATGGCTAGAATTGTTCTTCTCGTCGGACTCAGACTCGTCAGGTTTGTCATTTGCTTCTTTGAAGACGGTAAGACCCTCAGTCCTCCACTTCATTCAGTTGTACCTACACATAAAAGAAATTAGTGTAGAATAGAGCATCTGGCCTGGTGTCGAACCACGGCTCGGTGTAAAGTGAGTCAGACTCACTACTTGAAAAGAATGACATCAAGTTCCCAAGTTAGGCCTCAACCTAGTCTCCGAAAGAAAGATTGAATCTGCGAGTAAGTGAGTCGGACTCCTCACTCGAATGGATAATCCATCCCCAAAGAACTAAAGTATATCAACCTTTTCGAGAAATGTGAATGCCAATTAAGTGACAAAATTGCTCGGAATAGCGTGGCTCTAGGCCCCTAACAAGAGTTTAACTCGCCGCCCGAGGTTAGTAGTTCAAACCCGCAAGTAAAAACTTTTGAACGGGTGACTCGTCCCCCGAGGTCAGAGTGTGATGCACTTGGAAAGGGTAAGAGCATGCAAGAACTCGTATGAAGTCAAGAATGTGCGGTATTAACATTTATATTGAAGCTTATTAATCGCCACACCCATATGACGTGACCCGGTGGCGCGAGTGTGTGTGCTCGGCCATTGTACGAGTGTGTGTGCTCGTCCGGCGTACTTGAGTGATCGGATTTCATAAGTCTGTTGTTCAATGTTAAAATTAAACACACTTAACAAGAGCAAAAGCAATCATATCACTTAAAATGTCTTTTCAAATGATTCAATTTATGATTTTTTTAGTAATTCCACATATTAATTTTAGGGAAAATAATTTTGGAGTACTTAGCTTTTGAGCGGGCTGCAATCTTGGACTGTCTTGCTGAAATCCAATCCATTGAAAAACCAGCCCAAAGATGGTCCAATCCATAAAAAGCCAGCTCAGCGGGGAGCCTTCCAGTCCGGTTGTGATTGGCGAAGAGAACAGGAGGAAGTAGAACTGTAGCACCTTGGATTGCGATGAATTTCTTGAATTTTTTCCTACTAAAGTGATGTGATAGATCAATAGAGCCTCTCAATGAAAGCACCAATGTTGGTCCAAAATAGGACGCTCGTAGGCTTTTAGGAAAGCTACGTACGACACTCAAGCAGGAATTAGGAAAGTACGAATATGGAAAGTTAGCCAGAAATAGCATGTAGAATTCATTTTCTAATATGAATTACAAACCGCCTTTTATAGGCATATACAAATCGTAACCGCTACATTAATACGGAATTAAATACATAATTAATAGCGCATTAATTGCTTGACTGTTACTCTTCCGTGCTGGGAGGTCGGTCGGACTGGCAGACTCCCCGCTGGGTTGGCAGACAGACTCCAGGTTGTGGACTTGGATACACGGGTCCAAGTTCGAGGCTTGGGCTGATTAGGCTCTGAGCCTAGTCCCATTACTCCATCAGGTACATCATTCACGGAGCAGGTGTGGAAGTCGACCGTCAAAAGGTGCAGGCTGTTCTAGACTGGCCCATTCCGCAATCAGTCACAGCCTTACGAGGATTTTTGGGTCTCTCGGGGTACTATCGCAAGTTTATACAAAATTATGGTAGCAAGGCTGCCCCGCTCACCAACTTGCTTAAACAACACTCCTTTAGCTGGTCGGATGAGGCACAATCGGTCTTTGATGAGTTAAAGTTTTGTCTCTCCTCTACGCCAGTTCTACAGTTACCCAATTTCGATAAGGAATTCTTGATCGAATATGATGCATCGAGTAGCGGGATTGGGGCAGTCGTCCAACAAGATGATCACCCAATTGCATACTTTAGCCGCACATTAGCCGCACGCTACACCCGTCTTGCAGCATACGAAAGGGAACTGTTCGGTCTCGCAAAAGCAATTACTCACTGGCGACCATATGTATGGGGTCAAAGTTTTGTCATTCGTACTGACCATTCAAGCCTCAAGTATCTGCTCGAACAAAGACTCACTACTTCCCCGCAACAGCATTGGCTCAGTAAGCTTATGGGCTTTGTTTTCACAGTTGAATACAAACCGGGCCGCCTGAATGCAGCAGCAGATGCTTTGTCCCATCGGGATGAAGCCGTGTCTGAAATCACGGCCATATCTCTGCCAGTTTCCAACCTATTTGATGAGATCAAGGAAGAGTCCACATTGTCTCCAAAAATTCTCGCTTTGAAGGAGCAAATATTAGCGGGTACTAAGGGGAAAGACTGGATAGTCCGTGATGGGATCGTCTTCTTTAAAAACAGAATCTATTTGCTGCCAACCTCCACCATTATTCCAACCATTCAGGAATCTAGTTGCCCATGAAGGAATGCTGAAAACCCAACACTGCGTGCGCCAAGATTTCATTTGGCCTAGCATGAAACAAACAGTGGAAACCTATGTTAAAGAGTGTACCACATGCCAACAACATAAATGGCAGACTTTACAGCCCGCTGGATTACTAGAGCCCCTTCCAGTACCACAACACATGGGCAGATATCTTCATGGATTTTGTTGAAGGACTTCCGAAGGTACATGGCAAATCCACTATACTTGTGGTGGTAGATCGCTTGTCGAAATATGGCCAATTTATTCCCTTGGCTCATCCTTTCACAGCATCTTCAGTTGCCACAATATTCTTTGTTGAAATCTTTCGCTTACATGGCTTACCGGAATCCATTGTGAGTGACCGCGATCAAACTTATTTTAAGCGAAAAGCGACCAAAAGCGAGAACTTAGAGCTTTTATAAAAAGCGAAAGCGCTAAGCGAAGCGTCGCTTTTACACAAAAAACGATGGCTATAGAAAAATACAAATATAAAATATTCCAATGCATAATTAAGTCAAAAACACATCAATAGTTATAATACTCATAATAGTACTAATAATGCGACATAAAGGTAGAAAATATCCATCACACAATGTCATAATAATGTCATAAAATCAACTCTACGAAGCATTATCACTCCATAATGTCATCCTCCACATGAATGTTCCCTTCTTCTTCATCCATAACCAAAGCATCGAAGTCATCACTATCATCATTATACACCCCAACATCTTCTTCATCTTCTTCCTCATCTTCATCAACAAGCCTATGGGTGGAGGCTTTTTCCTTGGACTTGGACTTGGAAGTTCCCACTTTTTCTTTCCCTTTTGAATTGCGTCTCAGAAGCATTGTCTGATATCACTTGAACAACATTTTCACTTCCCACCCTATTCACAAAGAGTTCGAAGAGCTCTAGCATTTTCTCCCCATTCACGGTGTCCAAACTTACTTCAACTGATTGGATGAAATACGATCCAAGTGAGCAATTAACTAGGACGTTGATATACGCCCGATTTCTTCGATCAGTCCACTTATCCATCATTAATGAACAACCATATTGGTTGCAAATATCCTCATGTGGTTTAAAAAGCTCTTTCACATGATCTACTTCTTTTTTGAGATATGGCACTCTCACTTCATGGTAAGTAGGAGCCTTCATGCATGGCCCGTGTTGTGCCACAGCATCAATGAAACTTTGTAGCGTCTTATAATTCACGCAATTAAATGGCAACCCGGCTTCATACATCCATCGTGCAAATGCAGTTACAGCCTTTTCTCTCAACTCTTTTTTGCAAGTTGCTAGAGTTACTTCTACCCCTCTTGCTCTTTTCAATTTTTGATGTTCTTTTGAAACACTTTTGAAGTACAAATTCATTGGGCCTTTTATTGTTGATGTTTTGCTCGTACCATCTTCACATTCAATCTCCTCAACATCATCATCATCAAAATCAGGACCTAAAGAGTTCTCTTTCAAAGATTCTTTTCTTTGATTTTTTGCATCCAAAACCTCTTTCATGGCAATTCTAACTTCTTGAGGACACTTGTCACATGCCTTCACACATCGAAAGCCACCGACAAGATGTTGCTTGTGACGGTATATGCCTCCAGTTGTTACTTTATCACAATAAATGCATCGAACACGAGTATAATCATTTTGTGAGACTTTCTCTCCATGCTGCCATGTCGGGTCCGTCGTTTTGGATTGCATTCCCGACATTTTCCTTTAGACGTACATGTTTCAAAAATGTATAATGTTTAAAACCAGGCAAGTTTGTTAAAAAAAGCCAAATAATAAAACATAGACTACTTTAAAATACAATAAGTAGCAATAAGTAGCAGCAGATGGAGAGAGCAGTTCAATCGCAGCGAAACAAAGAAGAAATACAGCAAAACAAAGAAGAAGATAGGCAGTAGCAGACCAGTCACCAGTGTGAAAAGCAGAGTAGCAGCGGATGGACTGATGGAGAGAGCAGGTCGTGCGATGGCTTTGGCGATGGAGAGAGGAGGTCGTGCGATGGCTTTGGCGATGGAGAGAGGAGGTCGTGCGGATGGCTTTGGCGATGGAGAGAGGAGTAAGGAGTTCGTGCGACGCAGAGGGGAAAAGAAACGGGCAGTGTTCGTTAAACCTAATTCCGGAAAAACATAAAAAATAGGATTTAAGCCATCTGGACAGTCATCTTCGCTTTTCGTGAGAAGCCCATAATAAGCGCGCTTTTTGCGCTTAAGCTTAGCGACGGAAAAGCGTCGGAAAGCTGCGCTTTCTCACGGAGCTGCGCTTCGGAAAAGCCAGGCGCAAAGCATGCGCTCGCTTGCGCTTCAGCGCTTAAGCGCGCTTTTGGTCGCTTTTAATAAGTTTGACCGCGATAAAGTCTTTGTGAGTTCTTTTTTGGAAGGAACTATTCCGACATAGCGGATCCAAATTGGCATCTCATCAGCCTACCACCCACAAACTGATGGGCTGACAGAGGTTACCAATCGGATGGTTGACAGTGGGTATGCCTATAACACTTCATTTCACACTGCACTGGGAGATACTCCATTTCGTTTGGTGTATGGACGTGATCCACCTCGTCTATTGTCCTATGCCCCAGGTGCAACTAAACTGCATGTCGTCAACAAGACACTGCTCGAACGAGATGTGGCACTAGCCAGTGCCCAAAACAGACTCTTATAAGCACATCAACGCATGAATCTCCAGTATGACAAACACCATCGCGAGTTAGAATTCAAGGTCCCCGACTGGGTTTGGTTGAAAATACACCCATATCGCCAGTTGTCCCTCACCCGACAGAGACATACGAAACTCCTTCCCAAATCTTATGGTCCATTTCAGGTTACTCATCGGATCAGCCCAGTGGCATATAAACTCGCACTTCCGCCTGAGAGCAAAATTCATGATGTTTTTCATGTCTCTGTTCTGAAACCGCATCAAGGGTTGCCTCCTACCGCACTAGGGGTTTTACCACCCTTGTGTGATGGCCAGGAACTGCCAATGCCACGCACAGTGCTTCGCAGCAGATTGAACCATTGTATGTAGGGATGGATTCGGGCCGGGTCGGGCCCGGGCCGGGCCTAGGCCCGGTCGGGCCGCCGGTTCAAGAAAAGTGGGCCCGGGACCGGCCCGAGGGTTGGACGGGTCCGGTTCGGGCCGGGCCACCCGCCCGGGTCACGGGTCGGGTCCGGTTCGGGCCGGTTAATTTTTTTTTATAATTTATATTTTATAGTTTATAGTTTTATACGAGTATTAAAAACAAACTTCAATTGCATTTATTTGAAATGAAATAGGAACTACATTTGAAAATTAAAACAAACTTTAAGAGATAAACATTTTGAAAATTGTAATCAATCGGAACTTCCCGCACCTCCCGATCCTTTGGCTTTGTCACATGACTTCATATGCTTGATTGCCATCCTGAATCCGCCTGAAGCCCCCATGATACATTTTTTTTCGCACCATTTGCAAATTGCGTACCACATCCCGGTCTTCGGGTCCTTCTGCTTATTAAAATTATACCGTATAATGGCATTTTGATTTTCCATCTTAACTTCTTGAAGAAGAGAATTAGAGAGTAGATATATAATATATTGGAGAATAAGAGAATTAGAGAGTAGAGAGTTAAGAATAGGATTTAGGAAGAATTGGAGAAGAGATATGAAAAAATGTTTAAGATTAGGAGTATTTATAGGTTTTTTTACCCCCCACCCCCCACCCCACCCCCACCACCCACCCCACCCCCCCCACCACCCAACCCCCCCGGACCCCCCCTTTACCCCACCCAACGGCTATATAGCCGTTTGGGTTGTCCCCAGCCACCCCCAACGGCTAGTAGGAGCCCAAACCAAAAAAAAAAAATTAAAATTGAACCGGACCCGGGCCCGAGCCCGGCCCGGCCGGGCCGGGTCACAATAATGCTGAACCGAGCCCGCCCTGCCCCTTCCCACCGGTTCGGGCCCGCACAGTACCGGGCCGGGCCGGGTCCCGGCCCGAACCGAATCCATTCCTAATTGTATGCTTGAATTTCTGGTACAATGGGTTGGTAAGTCAGCTGAAGATGCCACCTGGGAGCCATCTGCCATTTTCTGTGATGCATATGCAGAGTTTCAGCTTGAGGACAAGCTTTTTCTTCAAGAGGGGAGTGATGTTATAGACTATTTCATTGGTAAACAGTACAGGCGTAGGGCCCGCAAGACAGCAAAGGCAGGAGATGAGCAGACCGCACAGGAGTCCTAGTTCTATTATTCTTAATTTATTCTTTATTTATTAATTTATTTATTATTCATTAGTTTATTAATTTAGACTTCTTTTACTGTTAGTCTCCTATTAGGAGAATTAGGGTTAGCCTTTTCCTATATATATAGGTAATCACATGTACGGCTGATCATTATTAATAAAGTTCAGATTCTATCGGCAAGTCCGAATCTCTCTCTTCCACCATAGGTCGTAAGAAGCCTTCTGGCACACAACCTACTTCACTCGATCCTTCCACCACCGAGACAAGGTCCGGGCCGTGGACAAGATCCTTCACCGCCAAACATAACAGTATATGATATTATCAATACAAGCATTCAACCAGACAATACTTGATGCACAATACCTCTATCAGCAAATCTTTTTTTTAGTTAACTTAAGCTAGTAAGTGTGTGTGTCAAAATGTCAAATTCCATCGTATCTGCTGCCGCATGATGGGAATATAAAGGAATAGAAATGTGACTCTGCAAGGGGCAAGTGAACATATATATAGCTCATAGCCCCTGTATGGATTCAAGGTTATACTTTTCTGCAGTTGGAGTTTTGCCGTCTTGATTGTCCTTGGGTTTCTTCAAGACAACATCGAGAGCTTGAAGATATGGATGAGAGGCATTCCTGTTGGATGAGGTTGTAGGATTGCTGATTTTGCTGGCCAGAAAGCGGCGAATCAGACCCCTTAGGAATGGTGCCATGGTGTCCGGCTCATGCTCTAGGTAGTACATGATCCCTCCCATGCATGCACAGAACAATGCCACCTGCCATAGATGTTGGACAAAAAGGTCCAATCATTATTCATAAAACATTTGAAATCCCTATCTCAATCCAAAAAGAGCCCTACGATTTATCAAGATGAACTAAATATGCATACAAGTTCAACTAAATTCTTCCCCCCCAAAGTATAATACTCCCTCCACCTCTAAATAAACATGCAATTTGACTGGGCACGGATATAAAGCAAAACAAAACCGTGAGGTTGAAATTTATTTAGCGGAGACAGATATAATATGAACCAGTGACCCATAATGCTTTCCTTAATAGGAAATGTAGTAGCAGATAATTTTAGGAGGCAGAAATAATATGAACCAGTGACCCGTAATGCTTTCCTTAATAGGAAATGTAGTAGAAGATAATTTTGGATCGAACGAAAGAGCACACTGAAGTGAGAATAATGGAGGGACAGATAAGGTAATGGCAAAGGAGTGGAATTATGCATCTATGGCGCATTGGTTATAAGGACCATTGACACTAGAGAATATGCAATTCATGAATTCTTCATAACACAGCATAAATGTCAACTTCCTCAATATAATCTACACGACTTGAGGTTGACACGACATAAAAAAACTAACATGTCTTGATGACACAGAAAAAGGTTATGCATTGGAGATTGGTACAACTATCATCGCTGCACTAGAGAAGAAGCAATACCTCAGCGTTCTTGAAATCAGGGATCAAACGGCGATTCACGAGAATATACCATAAAGATTCCCCAGCTCGTGGAAGAACATATAAAGCAAGTTCTGAACGTCTTGCTTTCTTCTCTAACAGTACAGACAGGCCAGATGCTGCTCCTGCAACCCAATACACTACCTTGTGGTCCTTGGTTGCAATCTTTCTATGCAAGCATATGACTGCCTTTTTTCAATTGACAAAAGAGAAATAACCATCAGTAGGTTTAAGCCAAGTCTCAGAAGCAAAAACAAAGGTGGTAAGCAAAGTACCTGAAACAGACCGACAAAAGACGACAAAAAAGTTGTTGAACGGACTGCTCCAGTAAGAGCAAGCCAACAGGTGCGAACAGGGGCGGCCATAAACTGTTCAGGACATCATATACAATAAGCAGTTTTTTGTTAAAACCGATGCACTTTGTTGCATTAAATCTAAATTAGTCCCCCTATCCAACTTTAATTTTTTTCAAGTAAAACTCATAAAAACCCAAGCTGCAAGCAGGTCAAATTAATTACTTCAAAGTCCAAACAATCTTGAGTATAACTTTTATAGGTAAAAGTGACTAACTTGTAAAAGCTTGGACCTTCATTAAGTTGACCAAAAAGAGTTGTATCATAATCAAACATGACTATATTTAGGACGGAGGGAGTAGCTTAAAAGAGAACCATACACAAATATATAAGAGTAAGAGTTTGGCAAATCCTATGGACTGTCAACCAATAGACATGCAAACAAGTATGAAAAGACTGGTGACTACTGTAGATTGAAGTTCTTACTATTCAGAAGATTCGAGATGTGAGTGTAAGACAACCTTTCTCTATTACCACATACCAATAGTTTACCTATATTACAAGCTAAAATGCACCCATGTAAATTCAACAAATCCTACATAACCAGCTGTATCCTGCACTATGCCTATTAGAAGCTTCAGAAAGTCAATGATGCATAAAAAACATCACGAAAAGAAACTGAAAGGTGCTATCTGATTAAGTACAAGTCACTCTATGAGAGAAGAAAAACATAAATATTGATTTACATTAAAAAACAGATTTACCTTCTGCAAGCGCAGAACTACAAATGGTACAAAAGTCAATGAGAAGTAGAGAGGAAAGGTTTTTCGAAAAGTTGCTGCTGTTGCATTAGCATTGTGCGCCAAACATGAATTGTTGCCAGGATGAATCAAAGAGCATGGAATAATAGAAGGGAATTCTTCCAGCTTGACATTGTTGGAAACCCTTCTCTGGGAGAGATAAGCAGTCAGTGACTCAACATCTACAGGCGAGCCTCTGCAACAATCCTTAACGGCCTTGTATACTGGTGCTGCAACCGGGCCAGTTTTCTGAATAAATTCTTGATATGATTTTGGCAGGCTTTCAGGGCGCATAATAAAAGCATACATAACCTGGATCAATTTAAAAACAAATAGATGCAATAAGTCAAATTATATAACACTGCATTACTGAGTTCAGGTGTACAAAAGAAACAAAAAATTAGCATATAGAACATAATAAGTCATTTTTAACATTGAAAAAAAAAAGTTGATGTTACGCCACAAAAAAACCATAGTCTGGCACCTTGAATTCCACTCCCACATCCCACCAGAAATTCACATGCAAGGTAATGAAAAATACCTGGGCACAAGCTAATGAAAACAGCAAAGAATCTCCGTGACTCCAATGGCTTCCCCAGAGGTGAAATTTGTTCTTCGATTTAGCAGAGTTATATGCACACTAGTTGATTACAAGTAACCAGATTACCAGAAATTAGAATAAATGAAACATTACATGGACAGGGTAGAATGCTAATAGTTTATTCTTTTCATTTTTATAATTAAAAATACATTTTCAGCTTTTCTATTAACATATTAACACGTTATTGTACATTCCTCAGATCTCTAATTTGAACCATAGTTCCTCGTCTTTTCAGTGTTTTGTGGCTTCAGGGTTAAATTGTAAACATTTCAGAAGAAAAAGGTCTAAATTGCCAAAAAGAAATCCAGCAAGGCTAGGTTTGCCAGCCCCTTAAAGTTAACACAACAAAAAAAGAACTTTAGCCTACACAAAACATCAATCACAAAGCTATAAGTAGAACTACTGAGACATGGTATTCATAGATATGTACCTGCGCTACCCTTGCTAGAAGATACAAAGCAAGTGTACGTCTCCTGCTGGAATCATCAAGTGCTAAGATGGACAAACCTGCCACCGAACCTGCAAAAATTCTGCCCCATCATCCCGTTTAGAAAGTTATGTTAATGGTAGAAATTACTCATATATTGAACAGTTAGCACAATAGAGTGTTTTTGCATGAAATTATAAACTTACGCATTTAGGGGTGTTTCTTTCTTTCTCAGCTTTCTCAGCAAACACCTTAGAGCATGATAGGAACCAGTAAAACCCCCAAAGAGTAAGCCAATACGACATGCTTCCTCTCTAACAATCAGATCTTTCTCTGAGACGAGTTGCTATATGGAATTCAAGAAATTACTATTCTAGGCAGATTGGGAAAATTATGAAGGAAGGGTCTAACCTATTAATTTCTGATGAGCGATAATCCAACTACAGAAGATAACTCAGTTGATTAAAAAAAATATAGAATGGTTAATTACTTCTAGTTTTCAGTTCATTGTTCAATTATGGAAAAACCCCAGATTCAGAGTTCAGTAGATACTCATGGCCAAAAAACAATGTATTCTGTTGGTGGGACTGTTGTGTATCACATGCAATAAATGACACAATTCACCCTTTACAAACAATAAAGAAATCAAATTACACGATTCATCTGCTGGAAAGCAGGTAACTTTATGAGTATAATTACCAGCTAAGCGAGGGAACTCTAAGTCCAAAAAACTAATAATAATAATAATAATAATACCTAGTAATTAATGCAGATTATACAATAAACAGATTAAAGAGCACATGTGAGCTGGTATACACCGAGATAGCGAAGGAAGATGAAACCTTGAGGTCAAGGAGAGATGAATACGACTGGCGGCGAGCGAGCTTGAAAGCGCGGAGGAGAATCCCGATGCCAACACGAACTCCGTAAGATAGAAGGAAGCTCTGGCAAAGGTTACCTATGGCATTGGCGACGCATGATTCTTCAGCGTGGTCGCAGGGCCGGTGGAGACCTTGCTCGCGACACTGTCGACGCTGCAATTCCTCTATGGCCTCCCTGAGGCGATCCTCCGCCTCACGAAGGCGGCGCTCCGCCGAGGCGTCGACGTCTGAAGAGTCTCCCGGCTGCAATGAAGACGAAACCGAGGAATTTGACCACATTCTGCCGAGGATGATGCCGGATCCCGCATCCGAGCAAAACACGACAGCCAAGATAATAAGAAAAATGAGAAACAATGAAAATAGAAACGGCAAGGCTGCAACCCGACTTGTCTAAAGTTGATCTATTAGGAAACTACTCCTTCAGCATTTTGAAATTTAAATAGGACAGTAGTTTCTTTTCAAATGACTAGTCACTCTGTCATTTTTTTTTTCAAAAATAACTTCTTCCAAAAGTTGAATGCCCAACCCTAAGGCCTCCCACCCCGACACGACAAGATATTGGAGAGGTTAATCACAGTGACTCAATCAGTAAAACGACGGTAGGCCTTATACACGTGCGCACTAGAGGTCCAGTCTTATTTCAGGTTCTGTAACCTCCACACGGCCGCTGCGGGTTTCGAACCTTGGTCACTTGGTCCAATTTTCAAAAATAACTTAATTCCTACCCAGTATTAAAAACAAGAATCAGATACAAAAATGTCACATTAAAGGGAGTGTTTGGAACTGATCCTGATTCTGCTTCTTAAAGCAGAAGTAGAATCAGAATCAGTTTTCAGAAGCTGGTCACCCCCAGCTTCTAAAAAAACTGATTCTAGGAGTAAATTAGAGCACCAGAATCACTTCTGCACTTTTACCCAAACACTTCAACTTCTGCTTCTGCTCCCTGAAGGAGCAGAAGCAGTTTTAAGAATCAAATACAAACAACCCCAAAAACTACACTGAGATATACTAAAAGTTTAGATGTATTCAATGTGTACTTTTAAAAATCTACAAAAGTTCAGGTGTATTCAATGTAGACTTTTAGAAGTCTATAAAAGTCTAGACATATTCAAAGTTATGTTCATTTTTATCGACTTTTAAAATCATGGAATCTCGTGGACTTTTAACTCATTTTTAGTACATTAATTCTCTGCAATTGTCTCTTCTCATCAAAGATTTCCGTGGACTTTTCTTATATTAGTTCTTTATCACGTCCCACCTCATCCTTCCCCTTCCTCCAACTCTCCTCTTCTTTAGCCAAGCCACCCCATCGGTCTTTCTTCTTCTTGTTCAACCCAGCTCGCCCCACCCCTCTCCTTACATTCTTCTTCTTCTTCAGCTTGCCCCACCCACCCCCCTCGATTCGTTATTCACATATCGATTCGATTCTATAAGTTTTTAGAAGAACCAATATAAGAATCGGTAGTTTACATCACTGCAATTCTGGTACGACGTCAGTTAACCATTAAGAAAATAAATATTTTAACTATTACTTTCAAATTAATAAATATATAACCGTAAATAAGTATACAAAATTTTACAAGATAGAAATGAAAAGAAAACAATTATTAAGAAGAAAAGTTCGATTGCATCTATGCTTGTATCACATGTAGCGATAAGTGTAACGCTTGTGCAATGATTAATGTTCTTACTCATTAATAAAATGACCAAAATTCTTTGAGTTTTTTTAATAAAAATAAATTTGAATTCTTATGCTTCATTTATTCTTGTAGAACTCTGCGTCGCTATATTAATTACATTTGTTTCATTCATTTATTTATTTATTTATTTCTTATCATACTCTGTATTATACAGAGGAAATTACTCACGGTAGGACTAATACATAACATTTTTCTTAAAGTATAATCATATGTTTGATTTCCATCAAATAGGATTATATATTACATATTCACCCATAATTTAATTAATTAATATAATTAATTGTCCCCAGTTCCCTTGCATAACCAAAGCCATTTTGTTGGTGACGGATCAATCCGATGACGATAGCGCGGAACTCCGGAGATGGAGGCGGACATGCACAAAGGTAGCGGCGATCTAGGTGAAAACTTAGACGACCAGCAGTGACGGTCCGCATTTAAAAGTCTATGGACTTTTTGAAAGTCAATAAACTTATCCGTGGATTTAAAAGTCCATAGAATTCATTCATAAAAAAATCTATGGATTTAAAAGTCCATTGACTTTTTCAAAAATCTACCACAATCCATACTGAATACACACCCCTCAGAATTGTAAGTCACGCATAAGAGCGGTCCAACTGGCCAATCTCATAATGTGGTAGACTCCGGTAACAATAGTGGTGCATTTGCAACTGGAATCAAAATTAAAATAACAGCAACAACAAAAATCAAGCATTCCAGTTTCACCAGCCAACAGGGGGAGAGAAGAAGTTTATCCATTCATCTCCAAAAGAAGCATTCCGATTTTACGAGTCATCGAAAAAGGAGAAGAGATTTGATCAGCCACCCCCCAAAAAATCATCGTGTACGAGACCTGTCAGTATTTTAGACGGTGCTGTTCCGCGAGCGCCATTGCCTTGCCGTTTTTTGTTCCCTGTCCACCAACCTCCTCGAATAACCTCATTTCATAAGCCTGATTTAATCTCTTCACTAATGGCCAACAAAATGATTGCGGATCCGAGACAAAGAAAAAGAAGTAGCGAGGCTCAATATCAAAAGCCCAAACACGTTCACAATTGAAATGAACCAAACCCTCAGCGAGAGAAAACTCAGTCAGATAAACAACACAAGTCGCAAACACACGGCTAGAGCAGAACTCAGTCGGACAACACGTAGACAGCAACCAAGATCGACGAGAAGCAATAAACGAAGCACAAGAAAAAAACCATGAAACCTGTAGCCAGAGAAGGTCGAAACTAGAGCCTACCAAATGTCGCCCCTCCTTCGAATCAATCGATCGATCTGAAGAAACGGCGCCTCCCCTAGTAACCTCGCTAGGGTTCTTTCATTGTGGAGCTTCTAACTTCGCTTATTCGTTAAGACTTTAAGTAATAAAAGTTCTTATTTGACGGGGCTAATAGGCTATGTTTGGCAGGCATAAGTTGTTGCCTTCTCGCTTTAGTACTATTTAAAAAGTTTTTAAAAGCTTCTAGTTGTATGTTTGGCACGCCAATTTTTAAGAGCTTTTATAAAAATAAAAGATCTTTTTTGAGATGCTACAGTGAGTAGCATCTCAGATAAGTCCGTAGCTTCTAGCATTAATTAGTCTTAACAGCTTGTATACCAAACAGAGCCAAATCAAACAGTTGGCTTTTTACCAAACAGCTACTGGCTTTTCTTTTTAAGATTTTTTCAGTCACTAAAAGTTAACAGTTACTAAAAAGCTCGATCATAAAAGTATCTTTTCAACTAGTTATGTCAAACATACCCTAAGATCATACTCTCTCACTTTGCGAGTTGTGAATCAATTTTTCAAAAACTAATCCAACTCGTCTTTTATACAATTACTTCTAGTAGTAATTGGAAGCACTTAAAAGAATTTCTATATTTTTACCTAAAAACTCCAATACCTAATTATTTTTATTTTCTCAAGGAGCCGGACCAGTTTCAAGAAATGGATCCAGACATTCTTTCTCTTTGTGTACTTTATTTTAAATTGATCTTGGTTTGAAAAAGATCTAGTACATGTGTCTAATATATTCAAAATTATTTACACTTATTTGAATTGGTCTGAGGGATGAAACCAATCCCAAAAAAATATCATAACTATCGTTTTAGCTAATGATTTTGTTACTCTAATCCTCAGCTCCAATAACTCACTCCGCACACACACTCAAAGACATTATTAACTAATTAAGTGCACCCAAGATTCAAGAGTTCGAAACGCAATTCTCGGTTGAATAACATTTACCGATCAACATGTTTAGGTTCTAATAATCATTATGTTGACTCTTAAATTGCCTAATTGATCCAGTATCGATGGTTAAAGGATCATAGTTTGAGAAAACAGCACAACGTCACCTTCTCGAGTTCTCGGGTACTAGAACTCGATACGTATCATGATTAAAGGAATTAGCCACTACAAAAAACTACGGGATTGACACAGATTTGACATGAATTTACCGATGATTTTGTGCCAAATGATTCGAGCCAAACTATTTTTAGGACGAGTTTGTCATATCTCTGTCAAAATCCCTACCAAAGTTGGAAAATCCCTGTCAATCTGATGTTTTGTTTGTACTGAGCGTGTAGCGTGTGGTTCATTTGGATCAACCATGTTATAGGTACCCCATTTTGTACTCCAATTTGTACATCAGCTTATATTTGTGGCTCAAAAAAGCCCACTTCAATAAATGAATTGTTCCACTTTAAAGAGCTGCTTTTGTGAGCCACAAAAATAGGATGGGGTACAAATTGAGTTACAAATTGGGATACCTCTGGTATTTTTGCATTTGGATCACTTTCACTTGTCATCAACTCAACACTTTGATCCTTAACGTCCACCACCACTTCGGACCTATGCCCAGCTTTCATTCTATCAACACCAGTCCCATTCTTCATTCACTCGATCTTCTTACAGTTCGAAATAGACAAACCCTAAAAGGCAGTGACACAATGTCTTAAATGCTTCAATTGACTCTTCATAATTATTGAATCAATTTATTATGTTGAGATTCACAATAAATATGAGGCTAGCTAACAAAACCATCAAAGCTTGATTATTCATGAGTAGTAATATTTTCATTTAATTTTTTAGATTTCGTGCATTTGATTTTCACCGTGGTATCTAGGGCTGGGCAAAATGATTTGGTTTGATTGAACCGAAAAATGGTGTTTGGTTTTGTTTGGTTTCGTGCATTTGATTTTCAGCCAGAACTTTATAAATTTCAGCAGAATCAACCAAATCAGTCGATTTTCGTGCTATCAAACGAGCTCTAAATACTAGTAGATAGTTATCACTCTAAGATATTAACATTAACATAATCGCAATATTTTATTATGATTCCGTTATGATATATGTGTCTCATAATAATCTCTCAATAATCTTTTTATTCATCGTAATTGAACTTAGTCCAATTACTTTGCATTCCTTAAACAGAATCTTCTCCATATATATAATCATAGAATGTTACACAATGCAATCGTAAATGTTACGTAGTAACATACAATGTATAACAATTTGTGTTTCCTTGTTACGCGGGGAACTTTTACAACTTCATCAATGCCTCCCGGTTCACGACTAGAGTTTATAAGAGAGTTCAATATAGGCTAGGGATGGACCGGTTCCGGTCTGTCTGGCCTGGGAACCGGACCGACCCGTCACTGTGCGGGACTGGCCTGACCCGGTTGTCCGGGCCCGGGCCTAGGACCCGATCCGGGGGTGTTTTGTTGGCGGGCCCGGGCTGCAAGTTTCTTTCGAACCGGCCCGA